CGCAGGACCCACCAGCAGCCCTCGAAAGTGGCGACAGTTCCGCAGATCGCAGCCCCCCAGGGATGGCGAGGTCTAATTTGGGTCCGCGCGTGGCGTCACTGTGCTGGGCCCCCCAGCAGGCTTTGAAAGTGGCGACGGTTTCGCAGATCGCAGCCCCCCCCAGGGATGGCGAGGTCCAATTTGGGTCCGCGCGTGGCGTCACTGTGCTGGGCCCCCCAGCGGCCCTCGAAAGTTGCGACAGTTTCACAGATCGCAGCCCCCCAGGAATGGCGAGGTCTAATTTGGGTCCGCGCGTGGCGTCACTGTGCTGGGCCCCCCAGCAGGCCTCGAAAGTAGCGACAGTTTCACGGATCGCAGCCCCCCGCAGGCAAGACAGGAGGAGGCAGGCAGGAGGCAGGAGGAAGGCGGGAGGAAGGAAGGTGGAGACCACAGTCCATTTTTCAAAACGAATACCCAACCAAGGAGGGTTGGGAAAAAGCAATACGCTGTGCATTTTGCATCCAACTTTGAAACATGCGCGGACACCCGAAGATCACTTCGCATTGGCTTTTGACGAGGATGGTGGGGATGCTCACATGCTGCCTGCTCTGTGCAATGCCAACACCCCCCACCACCACCACCATCCCTTGTAGAACATTCGCCTGGCGAGAGGCCCAGACAAATGCAGTTTGTGACTACGGCAGTTGTGATTACCGTTTTCGGTGGAGTTCCATATGGGGCCACCATGACGCGCTTGAGGTGTATGTGTGTGTGTGTGCCGAAATGGGTGTGGCGGGCGCGTGCGACTGGACCCCTCGGTGGAGCCCCCTATAGGGCCACGACATGTGAGGGGTGTGCCAACATTGGTGCGGCAGGCGCATGCGAAGGCAGCCACTGCAGCCTTCGGTGAAGCCCCTAAGGGGCGACGAAACGTGTGAGGAGTGTGCCGAAAAAGTGTGCGGCGGGCACAGGAGGCGAACGCAACCAATGGGGCCTTCAGTGGAGCTCCCTATGGGGCCACGAAGCGTGTGAGGGGTGTGACGAAATGGGCGCGGCGGGCCCATGCGGACGCATCAACTAAGGCCTCCAATGGAGCTCCCTCTGGGGCCACGAAACGTGTGAAGGGTGTGCGGACATGCCGACACGGGTGCGGCGGGCTCATGCGAGCGAAGCCCCTGCTGCCTTCGGCGGAGCTCCCTATGGGGCCACGAAGCGCGCAACGGATGTGCCGAAATGGGCGCGGCGGGCGCATGCGAACGCAGCCACTGGGCCCTTCGGTGGAGCTCCCTATGGGGTGCGTGGTCTGCCGAAGTGGGCGCGGCGGGCGCATGCGAACACAACCACTGGGGCCTTCGGTGAAGCTCCCTACGTAAGGCTTAATGAGCCTCGAAACGTGTGAGGGGTGTGCCGGTATGGGCGCGGCGGGCGCATGCGAACGCAACCACCGAGGCCTTGAGTGGAGCTCCCTATGGAGCCACGAAACGTGTGAGCGGTGTGCCGAAATGGGCGCGGCGGGCGCATGCGAACGCAACCACTATGGCCTCCAGTGGAGCTCCATATTGCGCAACGAAACGTGTGAGGGGTGTGCCGACATGGGCGCGGCGGTCGCATGCGAACGCAACCACTAGTGCCTCCAGTGGAGCTCCCTATGGGGCCACGAACCGTGTGAGGGATGTGCCGAAACTGCTGGCTGGTGCGGAAGGCAAAAGCAGGGATGGGAGGAGGGAGAAGTGGGGGGGGACAGCGGGGGGAGGAGGGAGAACTCGGGGCGCTGTCGCTTCAAAACCGGGGCCCAACAGCACAGGACGGTTGGGAACAATACGAAGTGCACTCTGCGCCAACATCTGGACCAGGCGCGGACGCCCCGCGGTCACTTTGCACCGGTTTTCGGAAGGGACGGCCGGGGTGTCGAAGTGTCCTGCTGCGTGCAATGCCAGCAGCCCCACACCATCTCTTGCAACAAACTTATGCGAAGTGCACTTCGCACCAAAATCTGACTGATGCGCGGGCGCCCCTCGATCACTTCGCATTGGTTTTTGGCAGCAGCCCCACCCTTGCAACAACAACAATACACATTATACGCTGCACCTGAATCAGGACCCTGCGCGGGCACCGCGATCACTTCGCACTGGCTCTTGACAGGGACGGCGGGGTGGCTGACACATTGCCTGCTGCGTGCAGGCCCACCATCCCTGCCGAACACAAGTGCAAAGTGATTGCACGTGCACACGCACACATTACATAATATGCTGGCAGACCCACCGTCACTGTGCATTGGCTTCCGGCAGGAAACATGGGGGGTCGACAGCTTGCCCAATGTGGCGCACCTGGTGCGGGTGGCACACCTGGCATCTGCGGCGCATCTCGCGTGCGTCGCGCGCATGGCTGGCAGCTGCATTGGTTCTCGACGGTTGTCGACCGCGGCCCCTGCCTATGCTGAGACTCAGGTGCTACTTTTGTAACGGGAGGGCGAGTGGGAGTCCGAGAGATAGCTTGCGGCGCTCCCGCTAGGAACTTTACCCCTCTGCCTACCCCTTTCCCCTGGACATGGACCGGGGGGGGCGCGACCGATTTGAGCGTCCAAGAAGGCCTCGGGCCAGTTTTGGCCTCCTGGGGGGGAGGCTAATTTGGGACCCCCTTCTTTGGTTAAACTCCCCCTCATGGCCCCAAGATGGCCCCCAAAGCTTAAAAGAGGGCCTCAAGAGGGCCCCACGAGGCGCCAAGGAGGCCCCCCGAGGCCCTCCAACAGGCCCTCAAGATGCTCCGAACAAAAGCCCAAGGGGCCCCTATAAGCCCCCCCGAGGCCCGCAAGAGGCCCCCCAAAGGCTCCCAAGAAACTCCCAAGCGGCCCCAAGAAGATCCCCCGATGCACCCAAGGCCCTCCCAGAGGCCCCCGGGACCGCCAAGAGGCCCCGAATACGCCCCAAGGGGATTCCAAGCTCTCACGAGACATCCACAAAAAACCCGAGAGGCTCGCCCTCCTCCTCCTCCTCCTCCTCCTCCTCCTCCTCCTGCTCCTCCTCCTGCTCCTCCTCCTGCTCCTCCTCTGCCTCATCCGCCCATTCCTCCTAGTCCCTCCTCCGCCCCCCCCTCCTCCCCCTCCCCCCTCCCCCTCCCCCTCCTCATCCGATTCTTCCTCCATCCCCCCCCTATTGGTGTACGACGGCATCCCCGACTGCATGATACTTCACATAGCTGATCAGGGCAACTCGCCTGGGCATCGTTTCTGACCCGGCTGGTGAAACTTTAGCCTGTTGCTCCAGCTTTAGTTTTATTCGGGTCGGGCGAAAGGGGGGATAGCAAAGGGGGGGTTTGAGAATCAGCTCACGTAGCTGATTTTCCAGGCGCCTCCCGGCGCCGGAGGCGCCCATGTATCGAGGAATGGCCCCCTCGGTGAGGCCGAAACCAGCTGCATGCAGCAAATTTCGTAACCCCCCCTTTCCCAATCCCCCCCTTTCGTCCGGCCCGATTTATACACGAAGCGTTTCGCATGTTGCCCCAGCTTCAGCGCCGCTCACGTGCGACTCAGCGGGCGTCGACGGCGCGATGGCAGCGGCCCGTTTGGACGCGGCCGCCACCGCTGCCGGCACGCGCAGGCGCCCCACCGTCGCACCGCCGCAACCGCTGGGGCTGCTGTGGCCCGGGCGGTCATGGCGGCCCGGCGAGGCGATGGAGCGCGTGGAGGCGCCACCGAGCATGCTGCTGCTGCCGCGGCCCCGCGGCGGCGGCGGGCGAGGAAGAGGAGGAAGGACCCGGCGGGGCGCCAGGCGAGCTGCGACAAAGGAGCGGAGTCAAGCGCAGGCGGGGATGCCCCGTGAGGGCGAGGCTGCGACGCCAGCGCCGGAGCAGCACACGGAGGTGGACGACTGGCTGCCGCCACTCAGCGATGGTGGCCAGGAGGGCCCCCAGGAGACGGAAGTCGAGGAACGGTGGCCTGGGGAGGCCCCCGAACGGAGGCTCACCAGCCATGCGACCTGGGCCCGATCCAGCCAGTCAGAGGAGAGCGGCCGCGGGCGCGGCAGCAATTCCTAGACCCACCGAAGTGGTTCGCCCACGATGTCAAGGTCAAGGAGCCTAGGCCGCGGTGGAGCAACAAGAACGGCGTGTGGCACTTCTGTGTGCAGGATGGCGCCCAGGACTGCACGCTGACCGACGCGGACCTTACGAGGTACATGCAGGCGTACTGGGAAATCACCAAGGTGCCGCTGGCGCTGCCCAATGGCTCTGGGAGTCGTTGATGCTGGTATGGTGCATTGAATTAATATATATATACACACACACTGATGTAGAGATCACCAACTATTCATTGAACAGGGCCTTATCGTCAGTCGGAGGGCTACATATCTGGGCATTTTGCTCACAAGAACGACGCCTGCTGTCTGGCGTGGTGTGCCTGAACAGTTTACTACTAGGCCGCAGCAGGTATCATCTCGAGGGCCAGTGCTGCGTCATCAACATGTTCATCACACTAGCCGTAACATTGCAGCTTCCAACATGTGGCTCTCGCCTTGGCGCCGCGCAAGGTCGTCCCAAAAGTTGGCAACGGTGTCAAGGATGCAGGGCGGTTCCTTTTTCAAAGTGTGGCTCTCACTTCAGCGCCGCGCATATTAGCCTTCTCAGTTCATAGGTTCCCTTTGGAGGAGGAGGAGGAGGAGGAGGACAACAATAATGGTCTGGCACTGTTTAGGACTGTCAGAAAGCAACAGCCACGATGACCCGCGGCGTGGAAGTCCAGGAACAAGTGTTTTGGCACGGTCGGGGCCTCTCAGACGACTGCCTTCTGATGGGCCGCTTCCCGCAGTGAGCATATATTTTGAAGTAGGGACCTAGGAAGACGGAGCCCGGAGGGAGGGCTTTCTTGCCACATCATTGGTGCGTCTTGCGTCTATTACGGTGTTCCTCTTCCTCCCCCGCACCTCGTGTTCCATCCCCCCGCCTCTTTCCTCATCCCTCTGCTTTCGCTCCCGCTTCCACACCCTTCTCCCCCGCCCCAGCCCTTGCACCCCAACCCATACCGTCTCCTTGCCGTCATCCCTTGGCCCTCATCCCTGTTCGAAGGGAACTGCCATTACAACTAAAATCGGTACGATAGCCAGCCAATTTGTCACTAGTTGCAGCACTACCGGCAGCGTGGAGGACAAATCCCCAGAGAAAAAAAGCAGGCTCGGGTTCCGCACTGTCAGACGCCCACGCAGGTCTTGCTGATTGGATTGGGCCCAAAGACGGCAAGCTTGACATTGAGAGTGTGTGGCACTACTGACACCGAATCTGATAATATCGAGCAGTCGCAAGTCATCGTGGATAGCATTGACACTATGGGCAACACGACTGCAATCGGCAGCGTCTCCGCTGACAACGGAAAGGGCATGCATGGTACTGGGGACGTTGACAGCGTTATTGCAAACGCCACCGTCAGCAAGCTTGCAATCGGTAGTGGTACCACCGGTTAACTTTAGAGCCGTACCGCGGGCTAGCCCCGGAAATGCGGCGACATGTCGGCTAATGGCCAATCGCTCTTCCAAAACGGCAGCCGTTCACTTCCCATTGTTGTCGGCCACGAACTTGGTCTCGAATTCCTTCGCGGCTTCAAGACTGGTCGGACGATACATGCGCAGAGTCAGGGCTGCGCCGCCTTCGGGCATGTCGATTCGGTTGGCCTTCGACTTACAGTCCTGGCTGTTGCCCACGATGATCGAGAAGCTGCCGTCGTCGTTGGACTCCGCCTTGTAGGCGCTCAGAGCCGCGTTGTCCGTGCCCAGGTAGCCTTCCATGGTGTACGCGGTCAGGCTCCAGTAGCCGAGGTTATCGTAGTCGACAGGCGGTTTGGCAAAGCTCACCTCGGTGCAGTCGGCTTCCTTGATGACGACATTGCTGTAATAGGCATCCTCGAGCGGCATTAGCCCCCAGCCCAGCAGCGACGTGAAGATGTAATTGTACTTCTCCAAATCCGTGCCGTCTTTGAGCAACACGGTGCCGGGGATGAGTTCCTTAGCATAGGCGGTCTGGTTCTTCACCAGCACGATGCCGCCAGCAAGCATCCGCTTGGCTTCGGTCAGTTGCTCCTGGTCGTAGCCAGGTCCGACATACTCGGTCGCCGACTTGGGCTCCATTTTCACCGCGTCCTGCGCCGCATTCGCGGTCTCGATACCCTTGTCGGTGCTTGTGCGCATCATGGCATAGATATGCTTGTCCTCGGTGCTCACCTCATCGGCGGTCACCTCCCGGCTTTGGCCGCAATAGACCACGCCGATCTGGCCATGGTTGGCATCGAACATGTGAACGGACTGGTAACCCACTGAGCTTTTCGGAACGGTCACGGTCATGCCTTCCGAGACATCGAACACGCCCTGCGAATAGAGCATGTCGGACTGCGAGCGCACGATGGTCTGGGTTTCGACGGTGGCCGGTTTACGGGCGTGGACGAAGGTGTTGATCCCGCCGGCCCGTTCGATCGTCGCGCTGAAGATCTTCTCGGACTCTGCGGGAACGGCAGTGAGTAAGTCCACTGGCTTGCCTACGGCAGAGGCTGGACCTGCCGCCATGGCGGCGACAAGGGCCGTGGACCCTGAAAGGGCCGTGAGCAGATCTGGAAGTGTTGAGCATCGTGAACTCCGCTGCGGCCAAAGTCGTATCGCAATGACAGTGTGCAGCAGGGTCTGGATCCTACATAGCCTACATGCAGACTCAACAGGCGCAGGCCCATGGCAACTAACCTAGAGACCATGGGTGGCATGATTGAGAGTTGCAGCGACGCCGCCGGCATCGAAAAGGACAACAATCCAGGACACGAAAGGCACTGGGGTCGTTGACAGCGATACCGTCGCTGGCAGCGTGGGGAACGAGAAGGTCCCTATTCCGAGTCTTTGAAAGGCTACGAGGCTGAGCAAGTGCAAGAGCCCGAATGAGCTCGACCTTCTCTGACATCCGAGACAGCAACTTGTCCGACAAAACCTGCAACATCGCCAACAGAGCGCGACTCGAGCCCTCTGCACCATTTTTCGAGCCGGATCGATCTGTGATGGTTCTGGGGCCCGGAACCCGGCCACATCGCCTGTTGTGGCAAAGACGCGGCGCCGGGATCTCCGGGAAGGCCGCCCCCAGCACGAGCGGAGGAGCCGGCAGGGCGGTGACCTCACACGGAGCCCCGGTGGGCGAACCTGGCGCGCCTCGACGAGCAGAGCATGACGAGGCGCGACGAGGAGGCACCAAGACCACGGTGCGTGGCGGCGCGGCACGCCACTCCCCCAACAAGACGAGCACGAGAACGCCTCCAGAAGCCACATCTGATATCCGCAGTCCTGCTCTGAGTATTCTTGGTGCCCAGTCTTGGTCGACCTCTGACGGTCCAATACAGGCTGCTCCCCAGAGCTTCTGCGGGGCCACGGGGCCCTCGGGGGATCAGTATAATGTCCGTGCGGCACCTGCTCGCAGGCCGACTTCCGATTTCACGCGGGGGACTTCGGAACAATCCCGATCCCAAAAACGTTGCCATCTCTTTGGGGGCGCATATTTCTCTTCCGCCACCTTTTGCGCCGCCATTCCTTTTTGTTTTCGAACACTACGCCCGCAAGTCTCAGCAACAGGGCGTCTCGTGCGCCGCCATGCCGCCGGCTTCCGCCGCCGGAGGCGGCCTCGTTCTTCTTCCGCCGACCGCCCGCCGCCCTCCCGCCGCCTTCCGCCGAGAAAGAGACGGCAACTCCTCCTATCCTCGAGGGCAAGAGCCCTGTCTGGAGCGCCCCGTGTGCCAACCGTGCTTTTCTGCGAGGGGCGGAGGCGTGTGCCCCCCTCGAGAAGTGCCGGTGCCCCTGGGCGTGAGCCCGGTCTGGCCTGGGCCCGCAGCAGCGGCGGCCGCTGCCTGCGGGGGCCGCCTGCGCGAGGCGTGCCCGCCACACCGCGGCGTGCGAGGCGCCTGCAGCCCAGCCTTGCGTCCTGGTCCTCGGCGCAGGCGCCTCGCAAGCCATGCGACGGGCGACCGTGAGGAGAAAGCCACGGGGACGAGCAGAAGTGGCCCCACCTCTCCTCGGAGCCCCGAGTGGGCAGAGGAGGAGCAATCCTGGTGATCCTTGGACAGTGGGAGAGGCCCGCGCCAAAGCACACTTAGCCGTCTGGGCGCAGCACTGGCGACGATCGGCCGACAGCCGCTGCGGCGCGATGCAGCGTGGTGCGGGCGCCCTCCCCCCTCCCCCCAGCCACCTGATCCCGCCCCCCTCCCGAGACCCCCGACGCCAGGAGTTTTTCGCAGCGTGGTCCCCCAAAGGTCTGGACCCTTTGCCCGGGACTGGTTTTGCATACCCGGGTCGTTTTTGCTGACAGCCCCAGGGCCTGGCGAGGGCCCGCAGAGCCAGAAAAGATCGAAACACCTTGCGGTTGCTTGCCCTCTCCTCGTCCTCGTCTCCCTCCCTTTCCTCCTGCCCCCTGCCTGCTGTCTTCGCCCGGCCCCCTCGCGCCCGTCCGCCCGCCCCACTGGCCCCAGCTTCCCGCCTGCGCGTTCGTTGCCGTCTGCCTCCTCCTCCTCCTCCTCCTCCTCCTCCTCCCTCCCCCTTCCTCCTCCAGGCGGCGTCCTCGCGGAGGCCGCTCTGGTCGTCGTGCGGGGGGATGCAGAACCTCGTGCGGCGGGGCCACGGGAGCCCGGCGCCCGCCCCCCGCGAGGAGTGGCGGGGCCCTCCTCGGCAGAGCGCAGCACAGCACAGCACGGCGCCGCCCCCCGACGGGGGCCCTCAGCGGGGCAGCACACCGACGTCCAAGGGCAGAGGACCGCACATCGGGCGAAGTGCACGTCGACTGGCGGAACCGATCGGGGGCCACACCCGCACACTCGAACGCCGACGACGAGAGAACCAGAGCAGAGCTGCTCAGTCGACTTGTCTGGGGTCGGGGGCGGCCGAGAGGGGGGTGTCCAAGAGGGGCGGGGGCGCGTATCATGGCCAGCGGCATGTGCGCGGCCCGGGGGGGGGGCAAGGGACGCAATGAGATAAGAAGAGGCGCCACGAAATCTGGGAAATATCATGACCCCGCCATGAAATCCTTAGGTCGGGCATGTCCCCCTACACGTGGATTTTTTGGACGACAAATTAGAAATAGTCAGAACATACCCCGATTCGCTCAACAAATATGCAACACATCGATCCCAGACTACTGTTTCTACTATTCTTGAACATCCCTCCTGTAGAGAGGGGCACGTCCGACTCGATGATATTGCCCCCCCCCCGTGGTCATCACCCCCCCCCTCTTGGCCGCCCCCGATGGGGGTGGGGGTGGGGGGGGGCGCTCTGCCGGTCCCGCCTGCGCTCGTCCCGGGGCGGAAGGCTCGGAAAAGCTCGGGACGTTGAAACCCTGGGACCGCGAAGCGGATAGCGTGTCGGGCTGAAGCGTGGCTGGCCAGAACCAGCGGCGCGACACGCCATCGTCCCGCCCGCCCCGGCCCCCCGCCTGCGCGTTCGTCGCCTGCCTGCGTCTCCCCCTCCTCTCCCGGCTCCCCCTCTCCGGGCGGCACGGCCTGCCCAGGGCCGACGTATTGCGAAGCAGCGTATGGGGCCAGCCGTGCCGAGCACCGCCGCATCGCCCCACCGAGGGCATCGAGAGAGCCTCCATAAAGGGCCCCAGGACACACAAATAAATACACACAAATAAACATTTTCCCCATATCTTCCCATGTTTTCTGGGTTTTTGTCTTCCCCCCCACTTCCCATATTTTCCCATATTTTCCTGGGGATCGTCGATTAATAGTGTCTGTGTGTTTTTTCCCCTCCTGACTCCAGGCGGCAGCCACGCAACTGCTGGCGATCACTCTGGCCGGCGCATGCCCCCGAGCCCTGCACGGAGCTCCTCCCTGCCTCTCCTCGTCGTCCCGCCTCTGCTTCCCGAGCTCGCCGCCCCCGCGCCTCCGGGCTGGGGACAGGGCCTCCAAGCATTATCATTACGTCGGGCCTGTCCCTCTACAGGAGGGATCATCAACAGTCCAGATAGTCTGGGGGCGATGCTTCCATAATTTGGTTTACGTATTCTTGGATAGGTTCGACTATGCTTGAGCTTCCCTTCAGAATCCGCCTGTAGGGGGGACACGCCCAACCTGACATCATCAATCGGTGCGCGGATGCACGTCCGTGGCCTCCATGAGCCTCCTGGGGCGTAGTGGGCCCAGGAAACGGCAAGGCCATTTTGGTGTTTGCCATGTTCAAACAAGTCGTTTCGGGAGCACGATGAAAACGGGCCTGAACACAAACAACAAAAACACAGCAACCGCACATTCGTAAACAATGGACAACAGACAAATCCAGGGCTGGAGCCGGAGGCCGAACAGAGCGAAGAGCCTCCCGTCGAAACTGTGTCATAACTCGAGGGGGTCGGGGTTCATTGCGAAATCCAAGGTCCTCCTCTTCCTCCTCCCCCTACTACTACTCCTCCACCTCCACCTCCTCCTCCTCCTTCTCCTCCTCCTCCACCTCCTCCTCCCCCTACCCCTCCACCTCCACCTCCTCCTCCTCCTCCCTCCTCCTCCTCCTCCTCCTCCTCCTCCTCCTCCTCCTCCTCCTCCTCCTCCTCCTCCTCCTCCTCCTCCTCCCCCAGGATGGGGCAGGGAGCTCTGGGGCCGCGCACTCCGCAAGGCACCGCGGCGGCTGCCTGGGGGCAGCGCGGAGGGCGGCACCAGCCGCAGCCGCGGAGGGCGCTCCCAGCTTCTCCACGTCGTGCGAAGAACTCCCACGCAGGCGGTGCCATTCACGGGCCTGGACCAGGACGACAGCGGGTGAGGAGAAAGGAGGAGGAGGAGGAGGAGGAGGAGGAGGAGGAAGAGGAGGAGGAGGAGGAGGAGGCGGAGGCGCTGGCAGGCGGTAGTCCCAGGAAGCTGGAGGCACACACGGCTGCATCCACCTGCAGCGGCCCAGCCTGCACGGCCATCGCGGGGCCGAGCGCTGGGGATGCCTACGGCAACATGTGTGACTCCAGCTGTCGCCCAGGGCGGCCGCGTCGTGCGTGTCCGGTGTCCTGGTGCATTCGGCTCAGCCGAGTACGTGAGGCCCGGATATTGGCGCCGTCCACCTCAAGTCCCCCCCGAGCATCCGAAGCCAAGAATTTGCGTGACCAGTGCCATCGGGAGCCCTCGACTGGCGGTTCAAAGTTTCATGCTGTTGTGGCGAAGGATGCCCGGGCACGCGTGGCTCCCCGCCGAATCACCCGATAAGGCCGAGCATGGAACGCAGCGTGGTACTCCTCGGTAGGGTACGACTTCTGGAGAGTGACCTGCCGCGGGGCTGGCTGAAATGGCCTACTGCGAAGAGGAGGAGGAGGGAGGAGGAGGAGCAAGGAGGAGGAGGAGCGGACCTCCGATGACTTTTGTCAATTCTGGCGGCTGGTTCTCCATCTCGGCTAGGCTCGCTGCGGGCCTCGAGACAACCAAACACCAACCTGGGAAGGCAGAATTCGTCCCGTGGAAGGAGTCGAGAAATCTGGAGGCCCCGTGTTGAAAGCAATCCTCCTGGCGAAGGGCCCAGCCACTTGCAGGCGTGAGCGCCGCAAGGCCGGCGGAGGAGGGCAGGGGGAATTCCCTTAAGGGGGCCAACAGGCGCGCGAGGGGTGTGCCAACATCGAGCAGTGCCGCCGTGCGGGCGCCGGCACCGGCGCCATTTGTGGGGCTCCCTAGGGGGCCACGAATCGTACGAGGGATGATCCACACGGGGCGGTGCCGCCGTGCGGGCGCTGCTTCTGGAGCGTGGAGCCCCCCCAGGGGGCCACGGAGCGCGCGAGGGTCGTGCCGAAATGGAGCGTCGCCGCCGTGCGAACCATGCCGCTGGGGCGCTTTCTGGAGCTCCCTGTCACGAATCGCGTGAGGGTGTGCCGACGAGGGTGCGGCGCCGCCATGCGAACCCTGCCGCTGGAACCTTTGGTGGACCCTGGGATGGGTGTACCGAAAAGGGGGGCGGCGCCGCCATGCGAACCCTGCGTCTTGGGCCTGCGGTTGGGACCCTGTGGGACCACGAAACA